ACACTTGCCATCACGTTTTTCACATAGTCTTCCAATGGCAACACCAGCCTGCTTGCGGCAAAAGATCAAATCTGGATGATGTTTAGCCATAGCTCCAAGCTCGCCAGACCACCAGAAGCTTCAGGAAAATTTTCAACTTATTCCAAATGCTACAAGTTTTGTTTGTTGTTGCTATTTTATTTCCAAACTATTTCAAGCTATCAGAGTGTTCAGCTATGAAATGAGCATGATAGGTGAAGAAGCTGAAACTTTTGGTCCCCAGCATTCTTGGGTTTTTTATTTTTTTCATTTTTATTTTTTTTTTAGTTCTTTTTGATTCAGAGCCAGATAAGGCATGTATAGAATTTACTGGGGTAAAATCACCCCATAGAAAAGAGTGGCAGGTCAGTAGTAGGATACAATTTTAACTACAAAAGCAAAATTTTCAGAAATCTTAGGCTAACAATATGTTTAAAACCTAGTCAGCACTCCATTAAAAGGGAATTTGAAGATTTCAGTGGAAAATCAATATACTCCTAACTGTCTTTTTTAACATGACTTTTTAGGATAATTATTTCTAATAGTGTTGGTTTTCCTCACTGTACAAAGATTTCTAAAACATAAATGAACTTAAATCCATTAGATTTTATCTTGCCAGATTTAGCCATGTATACTTCTTTTTCAGATAGAATGCATTTCTGAACTTTGTTAACAGGAAAGTAGAAAATAGATCTGACATATCTCCTCTGAAAGTGTGATTAGAACATTTAGACTGGCCATTAATTCATAAGGCCATAAAAAAGTCATTCACTCAGTCAATAAATATTCACTGTATGCCAGGCACTGTTCTAGGCACTGGGGATACAGTAATAAACATAATAGATGAAGTCCTTTCCCTCAGGGAGCTTATATTCTAGTTTGGGAAACAAATAACAATAAACAAATAAGTAAAACATCTATTATAAGAGATAGTAAAATGCTATGGAGAAAAATAAGTAAGAAAAGCAGACAGGGTATGGAGGAATTTAACTAGGGGAAAAGGGGTCACTTGAGCAGGGACCTGAAGGAGGCGAGGCAGCAATGCAGGTAAATATCTAGGGAAGAACAATCCCAACAGAAGAAACAGTAAGTGTAAAGGCCCTGAAATGGGAACACACCTGTGATGCTGGAGGAAGACTGTGTCAGAAAACATGTATTTCCCTAGAATAGAGAGAGAGTGCCTGAGACTCAAATGACCTTGCAGATAACACAGACTCATTCACTGTGGGTCTTGAGAGAGTCCATGCCACTATCTTAGACCTGGGTCTAGGGCAGTCATGATCCTTATTCTGCCACCATCTTCGATCCTCAGTATGTAGGAATTTAACACTTGAGGATCAGTCCCCAGGCTTGGGATAGTTAGCATCTAGCAGTGCTAAAGACTGTGAAGGATGAGATGTCCATTCGGCTGCAAGCATCCCTGTTTAAACAGCCATGAGGACTGATAGCTCAGTTAGTTACCCTGAGGGACTGATGGAGTCAAGGCTGAAATTTCAGAGTATTCACACCACACAGAATGCACAGGTAAGTCCAGCCTGACACCTCAGAGAGGTAAACCATTGGCCTACTGAGAAATTGTGACTAAAGCTAGCAAACAAACCAGACATGTATCTTGCTTGAAGTAAAATTAGTATTTGAAAGTCTAGCTCAAAAAAAAAAAAAAAGCTAAACTGGACATGTATAAAGGGATTTCTCTCACACCTCTTTTAAATAGCAAGTTTGCCAGAGTGAAGCATATCTACTCTGAAAGTATATCTTTCTTAATACTGAAAGACAATATGAAAGTATAAACTTAAAACAGGCATATGGTAGTTTAGTAATTTTATCACTAAATACACAGATCATAATTTACACTTGGTCTCTTTAAATTGGCGTGCTTAACCCAAAATAGTAAGCTCACAATCAAAAATTACAGGAATATCATTAATTATAAGACTCTTACAGTAATAGCAGCAAATGACATTGTTTGCTTCATAATTACCATATCTGAAACTATAAAAGCTCTGCTCCAACCTCTGTTTTTAAGCCATTTCTTGGTTCACACTAATAGTGAAAATGTCCTTCCCTACATAACATTTCTACTTTGGTTCTGTTCAGAGTGAGTAAGAAAAATCTCAGGTATGATTCATCTTTAGTAAACCTACTTTTCCAGTTAGAAAATAAAACCATTTACTACCTTAGATCAAATCTTTCCATTTTTTAAAATTTTTTTTATTTGCTACTATCCTCTCTAAAATTTCTCTAGGTCTGTCATTTTCAAATATAATCTGTTACCTTGAATTGAAGAAATTTGTGTATCAAAAGGCCAACAAGTGGCAGAAATGCCAGGGTGAATTCAATAGTCCTTCATTACCTAAGTACTGCTGGGTTTGATCTTCTTTGGATTAATTAAATTCATTGGAATGGAAGCCCATTTAAAAATCAACCAGAGTACAAAAAATTTTCTGTCTGGAATCATGAGATTCCTACCCCTCTCCTCTGCTCTCCCCTCACCCCATAAAAAGAAAAGACAAAACAGTTAAAAGACCTCTTTATATACATAAAAATGGGGAAGGAAAAATGCTTTATATTTCATTATAAGACAAAATATTCTAATAAACAGAAACATGGTGGGAATTGAGAGGTTCTCACATATCATAGCACCTCTTCCCTGTATAGTGGGTTTAAATTTGTGTTACAATATTGCCTCCCTTCTTCTGTCATTACCCAGTTTGATTTTTATACATGGCAATCATAATAATAGCTAACATTATATGTCAGGCATGGTATTAAATGCCAGGAACAAGCAGAGACAAAGATTTGAGTCATGCCCTCATGGAGATTTTAGAATAGGAACAGACATTTGTGATCATTTTCTCCATAGTCTCAGTTGTGTGGTGACTTGCCTAAGGCCATTCAGCTAAGGGGACTTGACCCAAGTCTGTTTGCCTCTCAAACCTAAGCTCCTCCAACACCTGAATTAACTGAAGTCGTTCTTCAAGATCTCCAGGCATATTCCAGTTGATCCAAACTGGAGGCAGAAAAATATCCATGGTCATTCCAGGGTGAGGCCTTGCAGAGTCTCTTGAGAATTTTGATGCTGTCTCAAAAGACTCCCTCCAAAATACTTTCCCATGTCAATGGACCTAGAGGACACAGGGGCAGCTGAGCCCAGAGTTTTGGAGCCCTGATTTCAAGTTCCTGTAAAGGAGCCCACACCAGGCCTTATTCTGCCTGAACCTTCTGGAACGCTTCCACCTGATGCCTCTACTTCCTTAGCACATGGCAAAAATTTTGTTCTTCCTTTCTATTCTCCCTCCTTCAGAAGATGCTTCTTGGGACTTATCCCTCATATCCTCATGAATGTTAATGTCTCCTTTTCACCGTCTCCTCACTTCCCCTCTGGCTGCTCTTTCAGCAAGCCACTTCAGATCTAAACACACACAGTAACAAGACCAACTGTTCAAACCTGAAACATATGGGACACAAAAGCCACTGCGTGGTTTGTTGTTTTTTTCTTTTAACATGTTAAAGAAATGCTTTATTAATACAAACACACGCCAGCTATAAAGCACTAAGAAATTTAAGTACCTATGTCATAACAAACAGGTGGCAACTCAACCTCCAGGGTCGACAGAATGATTGAAGGAGACTGCAACAGACCATTTTCCCATGGTGGAGAGGGCATCTTCACAGGTGAAGGGGGACCCATCTGTAATAGCTTTTCAAGTTTTCTCTCCTCATCAAGGATCATGAGAGGCACTCAATTCAAGGGGAGGTCTGCAATCTGGTGCTCTTCAGGCAGGTCAAAACTCTCAAAATCTGGAGGATTGAAGGGAAAGAATTTTTCTACTTCTAGATAGGTGTCATCTGAGGCAGGAACGGAGTTTTTTGCTCCAGTAGTCTTCTCAGTCACCTTTTTTGCAGGGTAGTTTGGCTTTGTTTTAGAGGTCCGTTAGTCTTTACTGACTTTCCTGTGGTTCTGTTGACAGTTCCCAAAGCATTTCTGGCAGCTTTAGGTAAGGCTGGTGGAGCATCAAACGTTCTGCCAACATGTGTTGAAATCTGAGATCTGCCATCTAAACCTTAGACTGAAGGTCTAGGCTTCAACTTCAGCCCATCTTTAGAAGCCACATGAGTGGCTGGTTCTCTGCTTTCCTTATGGACAAAGATCAGAGTAGCAGCCCCACTGCATGGTTTGACTAGAATGAGCTGCTGCTGAACAAATAATCCTTCGTAGTATTCAAATAATTTTGACTTCACGTGACCTTATTTTCTGACACATTCTTCCTTTTGGGAGAACTATTTTGTTCTTTTGAAGTCATACTGTGAATATTAATACTTAATTCCCATCCCAAAGAGTGAGAAAAGCAAGTTGATTTGCCTAGTATTGCTTTGAGGAGATCTCATTGCTCCAAATAACTAAATAGGGTCAGAATTTCTCAAAGAGAATGTCTACATCTTTCTAAACTAAAAGGAAAACAACATTAAATAGGAACTAAATGGCTCATTTCATGAGTAGGAGACAGTGTTTTAATGGTTTTAAAATAGTCAAGTCTCCCTCCTCCTCCCCCTCCCCCTACGCTAAGTTGTTCCCACCTTAAACACCCATTTAACCAAAAGGAATGGTTCTAGCCTTTCTTCTCCATTTAAAACATCCATTGACATCACACTTTCTTTGACTGAGATGTGCAGATGAGTGGAAAATCAAACAGGCTCTGCCAGCAGCTTGGAAGCAGATTTCAAGGCTAACAGAATCCACTCACTTTGTATTTTCTACCCTAACTTCTCAGTCAAGTCAATAAATACATGGTAAGTTTGAATTGGGGTCATGGCACTACAAGATTTGGCCTGCCACAGTAATTTCTTTACTTCATTTCAGAGTTTCAAAATGATCTTGACATTTAGAAGTTGTTCAAGAGAGCTTGGTATTGGTGGCCTAATAGGGGCCCGAGGTGACCGGCTGACAATGAGGCAGTCCTTTCCTATCCAGAGCAGTGGTGTTGAGCAGGTGGGGAGTGCCAGCCGGCTGGCTTCTGGATAGGCATCCGTGTCAGGAGCGGTAGGCCGCAAAGTCGCGTGCTGGGGCGTAGGGCTGGTAGTGTTTGCGGGTGGGCCCGGGCCGCCGTGGGGTCATGTTCATGTAGTCACTCTGCAGGAGTCTGCTCCTCTTATTCTTCATCTGCAGCAGAGACAAGTGTCAAGGTGGAGGGACATGGAAGGAGTTCTAACTTTACAGAACATTGACTGACACATGACACTGACCACCAGCATTCCTTGAGCACCTCAGACTTGGGTAATGACTAGTCAAACTTAACCACTAACTCTTCTAAATAAACTTGAAAAATCTCAGTTAAAGAAAATATTTTAGAGAAATCCATCCACGTTGTTCTCAATGCTGCTATTTGACCTGAAGTCCAAAATCATATCAATTAACATATCTACTATTGATACTTAAATACACTTGAAGGCCCTCACCCCTTTGAGAAGGTTAAGCCTGTCCCCATTGAAATCTTCTTACATTAGTGTTTGCTTAAAAAGCCATTTTTCTGTAATTAACCATAGAGGACCTACACTCCTCCAGAGTCTGGTATAGTCATAAATTTGTAAAAGCTGAGTCCAATAAATGGGGATTTACAGTTCCACACAAATACATTCCTACTCCTTTCTGACTCTAGGGACAATAGTGTCACTCATCTCTATTCTGCAGGCTCAGCTCCCTCAGGATGAATTTCTACTAGGACTGAAAATAAGGGCTATGTTGAACCTGTAGCAAAATTTACACTCACCATAAATCTTAGAGTTTTCGACTAAGGGTTAGGAGTGTCGTTCCTGGGTCAAAGTAAGGTAAGTTTTACATTTTTAACAAATGACCCATAAAACTTCTAAAAATATAAAGCCATCTGGATTTCTGGATTCAGAATTCTCTATTAAGGAAAAAAAATGCCTATTTCCTGGCACATAGGCCTGATGTATAAGTAGACGTGCTGCACATGAATGAGATGATACCTGAATGAATAAATAAGTGAACAGCTTCAGCTTTCACCTTAGTTCCATGGGAGAGAAAGTGATAAAGAAAAGTTTGATAAACACTGGCCTTCATGTTACTAAACACAACTATCATGTTTTCAGCCCTCATCTTCTGGAACTCTCAGCAATATTCTATATATTGATTACTCTCTCCTTTTTGCAACACTCTTCCTCTTTGTCTTCTGTGACATCCAGTTTTCACCCCACCTCCTTGGCCACTCCTCCCCTGCCCCCTTTGCAAGCTCATCCTTTTCTAGCCATTCAGTGCTATAATTCCTAGGCCAGTTTCTCTATTCATTCTGTCCTCTTTCTCTAGGCAGTCTCATCCACCTTCATAGATTCAATTACCACCTATTCATCCAAATTTCTGGACTAAACACAACCTGTCCTACATAAGACTCAAGTTCTTCCCTAAAAATAAATCCCTTTCTAAGTGTTTCTCATCACAGTGAATGACACTACCATATATATGGTTACCCAAGGCAGGCCTCACAAACCTCATCCTTGACACCTTGAGCTTTCTTAGCCCCTGTCCCAGAAGACATCTGGAAAATTGTGAAGACGTTTTTGGGTACCACAATAGGAAGGGATGCTTCTGGCATCTAGTGAGGAAAGCCAGAGATGCTTCTAGGACATTGTACAATATATAAGGAGCTCCCTGAAACAAAGAATTATCTTGGTACTACATCCTTTCTATAAATGAAAGACTAGGGCTCTTTTGGGCATAGTGTTACAGCAAGGCATAGGTGAGACTAAGAAAATGTGTGTCCCCAAATAAGTGTAGAAGACTGCTAGTGATGACCTGGGGAGCAGTTTAGTACTTACTCCAACCCAAATGATTTGCTTTGCTAAACCTCCAAGTGACAATCTTTGCTCCAGACACCCAAACAAAATGATAGCTGGTAGAGAGGCCTCAGTAATAAAGATGTGTTGACTCTGAGGTTCTCCAGGTTACACATAAAGATAATGAAAGATCTACTACAGTTAGCTCCATGCTTACCCTTATGCTATCAGCAAATAATGAACTTATTTTTATCTTAACCATAAACACAGCAGTGGGATGAAAATGACACAGTCATGGCTGGGAACACCATTGAGAACCCACAGTGCCCATGTGCATGTAGCACATGTATGAATGTGTGCAGGGAGTACCCACCCTATGTGTCTATGTGACTAGCATCTATTCCACCCCTTCACCAGTGCTGAGTAACAATATGTGGTCAGGACCACTCTTCCTGTGCCATGAACCCCACACCAGCCTTATCCACTGTTTCCTGGGAGCAGCAGAAATGCATAGGGTAATCCACTTAAAGACATGGTCTTCAAGTATCTACTGGAATAAAAGGCAGATACTACTATCTGTACACACAATCCACATTCCCCTCCTGGTGGGAACACCATGTTTTTTAAAGGTTCCTTTGGACTAGAAAAAGGAATAGGTTTACCAGCTCAGCTAAGTGAACGGAGAATTGAATGAGAGTAACAGGTGCTGGTCTGTGGCAGACTGACCAAGGGGAGCTCTTCATCTACTCAATGTCAACATGAGGTCAAGAACTGAGATAGAATCTGCAGCTGCTCGCAGAAACCCACTCAGTCCAGAGCTGCCTCCAGTAGCACATCACAGGCATACAGGAAGTTCCGGAAAACGGCAACTTATACCAAGGCATGCTGCACAGCAGCCAAAAATAGGATCCCAGAAAGCTACCTACGAAATGGCTAAACTCTAGGGATCCCTAATGGCCTAAATGCCCAGCTCAGCAGGTTCCTTGTTTCTTAAATAGTAATAACAGGAAAAGATGAGCTCAGGGTAAAAATGCCATTATGTTCTATAAAATAATAGATATCTTTTTATTTATACCCTTTTGGTAAGAGAGTACAAAGGTTTGTGATGCAAATAAAGAGTGGTTCTTACTGGATACCATAAGAGACTACAAGAGGCCACAGAAGATAAACGATGCCATGCACTGAAACTACCTAACTCACAGGGAGTCTGTGAGACAAAGTAAAACCACAATAAGTTCTCTCAAGACAAAGCAAGATCTGACTGATGAATGGTCAGTTAAAAAAAAAAAGGCAAAACAAGATGAGCCTTGCTAGAAATTAGTAGTGCTGCCAAGAAAAACCCCAGAAAGTCTATGGTATGTCTGAGTTGAAAGTGAACTGTTCAAACTCATTGAAAGTGAGAAGCTGCTTTTGGCCTTATGGGTGGTTCAAGTCACTCAAATTAGTGCCTCACTGTGGTAACTGACATTCTAATGCACATTTACAATAAACCTTAAATGATGAGGAGTACTCTTCTGGCCACTGAAAGTTAAGAGTTCCCAAAACTGCGTCCTGCAAAACTAGTAAATTACTAGTAATTTACTAGGTCAGCATATCATAGGGAAGCAGCTTTCCTAGAGGGGTACCCAAAGGCCCACTGCACCTGATCTTTAAGTTAGGAATTTGAGATGTAAGAGGATTGAAAAGCTATATAGCAGGCATAAAACCAATGGCAGGGATTAGGATAAAAATAAGAACTAAGAATTCTAAAAATAACACCACAGTGGATCAAAACTAGAAGATTCCAAGGATGAAAACACCAAAGTCCAGAAAGATGAAAGTATTCAACCAACATCAGGGGCAGAACATAGACAATACTTAACTATAATGAAGCCCTCTGTCAGGGTTGAGCAACTTGCAGAAGGCAAACCAGGCATTCTGAAGATGAACTGGGTATAAAGAATTTCCAGGAAAAAATTCCAGACAAGCTCATTTAAGTCCTTAATTTGACCTCATGGGTTTTATCAGCTCATCAATCCAATAAGCATTCATTAAATACTCAATGTAGTTAATACAAATTGATGGGGAATATTAGAAAGATAATCCTTTATCCTTAAAGAGAAAACATTACTCATTGAGGATATGACTCGCACATGCATCTAACTTCTAGAAAAAAATTCAAAGACAACATGGAGGCAACAGAGGAGGTATTCTGTGCCGCACTGGGTATACAAGAAGGAAGTTTCTGAGTAGGGAACAGATCCTTCATCACAAGGGTCTTTCTTTATGTATGTTCATCAAAATGTGTTCAAAATCGAGGAAAGTAAAGAAAAATACACAAAGTTTATTGCACAAACATTTGCGAAAGTTAGTAAACTTAAGTTTGGTGGCAAGAGCTCAGAAAAGTCTAACTCCTGTTATAGTTTCATAATGACAGCACCATAGTTGGCCTCACACAATTTAACTGCTTCAGAGGAGACAAAAATATGACTCAGATCAATAGGTCTAGTTTCTTTGCTAGGTTTGAATACACAATTTCAATTGCCAGTTTTCTCATGACTTTTGACCAAACCGAAGTTCTTAGTTGGCTTCAGTTGCCTTAGCTTCCCAAGTTACCTAGATTTTGATACATATGTATGTATTACAACTGTTTTATGTGTCATAATTATATTGCAAAATGAGGAGAAGGAAAATAACTATTCCTAATCCCCACACCCTAAGTTGCCCATTTAGTTTATTATTCTGCCATGCCACCTATTCAGTGTCTTCTGGAAAAAAGAAGATTTTTTTATCTCAGATAAAGTTAAACAGGATAAAAGATCACCTACTCTAGCATGGGATAAAGAAAATAATAATCATACATTACACAGAAGATAAATCACAGAGGCAAAATTCTTGAATACGTTCAGATTTCACGTACAATAGAAAAGTTATGTAAAAGCAGTGCCACTTCTCTTACCCAGCAAGCAAAAAGGGCCACTGTGACCAGCAAGCTATAGAAAGCCAGGGCTCCATTAACTGCCACCAGGGTCCAAAAGGGCTTGGAAGACTCAGGAGATGGGCGATCTGGACAAAAATAATTCTCTGAAAAATAGAATACAGTAGATTAAAGAATACAGGAATGGCAGTTGAGTGCATTAAAATATCACAGAAAAATGTGAAAGAAATAAAAAATACAAAAACTATCACTAGCTTAGAGTATATAGACTTGCTCCTTGGGACTTATCCAACCCCACTCCCAATCCCGACAGCCTTCAAGACTACAGTTGAACACTATTACTTCAGGGTGGTACACTGGTAAAGCTTCATTCACTTCACTTTGTGGAATCTATAGTGGGATTCAAAATGGTGACTTCCCATGGCCTCAACCCAAGATCTCTCCCCTTCCCACATCAGAAGACAGTTCACCTAAACCCTAAACTATATCCTTAAGATCAGTTAAATGATATACATATTTTTGAACCTGAAGAAAATCATCAGCCTATTAATGGCAGTCAGAACACTGGACAAGTAACCAGAAGATAAATTTTCAGCTCCAACAGTGTCTAATAGAGTACATGATGAGAGACAAGTCACATTAAATCTTTGAGAATCAGAAAGGTTGGGTGGGGGGACTTCTACTCAAAATCGGAGAAAATTAAAACTAGAAAGAATACCAAAAATCTTAGTTCATTGATTTTCAATCCCAACTACACATTAAAATTATCTGAGGAATTGCCCAGGAAAGGGGGAGGATATATGATCTCAATCTGAGGAAGTCTGAAAATATAGCAAGATCCAGCACCTTTTCTCAACCCATGTCAATTGCATCAAAATCTCAGTGTTGGACTCAGGCATCGGTGTCTTTTTAAAACCTGCCCAGATTTATAGTATGTAGATATGATTGAAAATTACTGAGTAGAAAATTGTTAGTGTCTTTTCCAGTTCTAATATAAATTATATATGGTGATATATATATATGTATTATATATTTTATAAGTTATTATATATAATATATAACTAATATATAATATTAATATAATTATATATAATTATGTTTATATATAGATTATAAAATTAATATATATAATTATATACATAACTATATATAAATTATATTATATAGTGTGTGTATATATATACATATATATAATACTATCCTAAAGTAGTGTATCATTCATATAGAAAAAAATATTCTACTCTTAACTTCCAAAATACCATTTTTTTAACCTTTGACTTGATTCCATTAAAATATTCTGCTTGGACATAAGACACATTAGAAATCTGAAAGGGACTCAGCAAGCAAAATGGTCACACTTTAATTGCTTCTATTCTGCCAGAACACAAAAGCTACTCTGTCGCATTCAGTTAATGGTTCTTTGCTTATTTAATATCCTATTTTTCACCACAGCACAGCTCTATTCCAGCATAGGAGGAAAAAACATTTATTGGAATTATGCTAGTATTAAATATAAAACTGAGCATCCATTTTCTTATCATTCTACAGAAAAAAAAAAAAAAAGAGGAGGTTTAGTGTGTCCACAAAGTGTACAAAAAAAGTGATGTGAACTCTCTCAGTTTTACTTGTTGCTACCAACAAACTATATTCTGAGTTTGGGAATGGTATGATTTTCCCCCTAACCTTTAGAGAGAACATAAAACCAACATAAGCTCAGTAGATTTATTTTCACTAATTTATGATTACTGCTTCATGGTATCGAGTTTAGAGCCATGAAAAGGTTGGGTGACTTATCCAAGATCATAGAATTGGTTAATAGCAAATATCACATTTCCTGGTTTTTAGTCCAGTATTCTTTGCATGTTTTAGAAAAAGAAAAAGATACTTTTACAGAAGAAGACCATGGAGCACAAAAAGAGAATTAATTAGAAAGAAACCTCATTCTTCTTGAGTCTTGATCTGTTAGACTGAGTTGCTTCTTGAGGATACCTGGGCGTACATTTTAATGGCATTCTTTTATCTGCCATGGTCCACTCTAATGGAGAGTGATGTTATGAGTGATCTATTCCATGGGCTCTAATTTCACCCCTTCCCCTCCCACTCAGTGTCAGTGAGGGAAAGTAAAGATACCCAAGACATAACCTCAAATCTCCTCTAAAGTGAAACCAAAAACATTTTTTGAAAACATTAACTTTATTAGTATCAGATCAGTTGGGATTTATTCAACCCTGCCACTGACCCTGGCCTAGTTTTCGGGAATGCAGTTGAAAACCATTACTGTAGGGTGCTATATTGGTAGAGTTGCACGGTACCTTTCACGTGGATAATGGTCCCATTGCTCTTCTCGTTGTCCAGGTAAGGGGGAGGATACATGATCTCGATTTTGCAGAAGTAAATATCTGTTTGGTTAACATACAGATCCCAGAGGTAGAATGTCACTGATTCATTGCCCAGTTTCCCATCGCAGTTGAACCCTGTATTTGAGGAAAACTGAAGCGGATGGGAGTAATTTGCGTACAACATGCAGACTTCCATGGCACTATCGACTCCTTTATACAGAGATGCCCGGAACTCCTTTGAGAAGAGGTTGTAGGTATACTTGCAGCTAAGGTTGACTGAATTGTTATACACCACAAGCAAGGGCGACTGCTTCACCAAAATCTTGTTTTCTGGGGGATAAAAATCATTTTCTTAGAACAACAGCATAAGGATAATCTTTTTTTCCTGAAATCAAGGTATATTAATTAACCAAATCGAGACTTCTCTAGCAAAGGCTTTCTCTTGGCAGATAAAGATTTAGGAGCTCTTGGGGGAGATAATTATACAAAGAGTTTAAAAGTTTACACTTTGATATCATTTTCACCCTCCTCTGAATGGGACAAAGGAGCATATGTTCATCTGAAAGGCAGAATACAGCCTTCTAATGGAACTGAGCTCCTCTGCTGTGCGCTTGGAGTTGTTTAATCTGTATTGAGATTCCTGAGAAGTTAAACATGAATTAAGCTTAAGTGGTTAGAACACCTGACACAGGCACAGAGAGTTTTTAAGCTGTAATATAGACTTTTGTGAAGGAATTAAAATACTTTGAAACTTTTTCTCACATTAGGCTTAGGTTAATGATAGGGTTAGGTTTGGGGGTTAGGGTTGGGGATAGTGTTATGGTAAGGATTACGGTGTTAGTGTTAAGGTCAGGGAAATGGGTTATGGGTAAGGGTAAAAGGTGGAAACTAAGGGTAAAACTAAGGGTGGGGGGGGATTAGGGTTCAGGTTAGGGTTATGTGTTTGGAATTAGGACTTAGTAGGAGGGTTAGGCTTAGACTTACATGTCCCAGCTCAGGGTTAGATTTAGAATTAGATTTAGGGAGTTAGCATTAGGTTTACAGTTAAGGTTAATATTAGGGTAA